GAAGGAAGGAAGGAAGGAAGGAAGGAAGGAAGGAAGGAAGGAAGGAAAGGGGAAAGAAGAAAAAAAGGAAGGAAAGAGAAGAGCCGTCTGGATCAGCCACAGGACATACTGCCTAGGAGAACCTTGAGTCTGTCCCCAGCACTTAGCTTCCCTGCCGCAGGGAGAAGAGCCAGAACAGAGCCAGTTCTCTTGACCTCTGACATCTGGCCCCAGATCGCTCTTGGCTGCACTACCTGCTGGCTCTTCTCTTTTCCTGGCTTGAGTCAGAGACACACTAGACTTTATGGTCAAGGAAAAAAGCTTCACGTTAGCCAGTGTTAACAGAGAACACATCCAACCGGAATCTATGCGATCTATAACATTCTTTGTGAGTCAGGGGAAGGAAGAAAAGAAATAGCAACTAGAGAAAAACTCTCAGTAGGCAGTAAGGTATCAGTGAAGGACACATGTCCAGTGCATTATGGTACAGTTTTAAAGAGCTTCCACATTTGAGCTTCAGGACAATCCTGAGGAACAGGAAGTTTCAGAGAGGTTAAGGGACTTTCCAAGATCACATGGTTCACACAGCCAGAACTAGAACTGACTCTGGAATTGCAACATGAAGTATAACATTTCTTTTATCACATTGGTAATACATGAAGACAAAGCACCCATATACATAAAATGAAAATAAAAACAAACAAACAAAGAACATGGCCTCTCTGGGGCTGAGGGTAGAAGGTGTGCACAACAGACAAGTGCATAGGCCAGGAGGCAGCCCGGAAGAGGAAGACAAAGACAAAGGCAACTTAATCAGATAAAAGGAAAAAGAAATCAGAGCTTCCAAAGTTCCCCAGAAACTGCTGTTCTCAGTGGAAAACACATGCCAGGAAGGACAGAGCATAAGATGTGCTGGAGCTGTGGAGCCAGCAGCTAAGCGAGTGTGATGGTTAGTGTTGTCAATATGAAGGATCTAGGACCATCCAGGAGACATTTAACATCTGGGCGTGCCTGTGAGGATTAGTTGAGGTGGGATTTTTTTTTTTTTTAATTTTATGTTTGTGAGTGCTCTATCTGCATGTACACCTTCATGCCAGGTGGGGACATCAGATCACATCAGAGATAGTTGTGAGCCACCATGTGGTTGCTGGGAATTGAACGCAGGGCCTCTGGAAGAACAGACAGTGCTCTTAACCACTGAGGTGGGAATCTTACACTGTAGAGAAAGGAGAAAGCTGGCTGAACAGAGCATCCATCGCTCTCTGCTTCCTGACTGTGGATGTGAGCAGCTGCTTCAGCCTCCTGCATTCACTGGCTTCTCTCCCAGGATGGACTGAGTTTCTTTTGTTGGGGTATTTTGTCATACCACCAGGAGAAAAAACTAATGCATTGAGAGTGATATTAGGATGCAGCAGGGGCTGTACTCCAGGATTGGAGGAGGGGCAGGGCGATCAAGGAGAGCCAGCCTGCATGAAAGGCAAAGGGGATGGCCAGGTTCACAGAAAGCACACAAGAAGTGCATAAAAAGGAAAAGACTGGGCAATAAAGACCAGAAACAGAATGGATGGAGGGGTAGTGCCTGAGATGGCCTGGACCAGGAGGTAGGGAAGGGGTTGCCATTATCAGGGAGGTTCCTGCCTCCCTCCCACAATGAGGCAACACCTGGCCTATTGGTGTTGCTCTGGCCACATGATTTAAATAGGAAGCTATGCATTGAGACTGAGTTATAATTAATAATGAGATTTTGTTTCATGTACCTGGGGGAAATGATCCCCATCATTCAGAAGTATGTGCCATTGCAGACTCTCATCAGAGACCCCTAAAGGCTGGGAGCCCATGGGCCAGCTGGCCTAGGGTCAACACACTGATCATGCATGGAGTGTGCCTACTGAAGAACACAACCCCAGCACTAGACACATGTGCTCCAAACATACCTTGCTCACCAGGCATCTTTCCCAACCCCAGATTGTCCCCAAGAGATGATGGCAGCACCACACACACACACACACACACACACACACACACACACACATACATAAACACACCATCCCTTCTTGACCCCAGAGGTCCACAGTACCTTGAGGTTCCCTCGATCCAGGGCAGCGGTCAGATGCTTGCGCACTTCAGTCAGCTGCGGTCTGGGGCCCCGGGGACTGGCTCCCTGCCGTAGGGGCTTCTCCTTCAAGTGCTGCTCCAACTTTGACTCCCCTAGGAGAAGTTCAGCCATATCATCTGCAACACCAAGCAAGACCATAGATTGGGTTAAGAAATGATCTGTGTGCTGGAGAGCCTCAAGGACATCAGGACCCTCATATCCCACAGTTCCATGCTCCTGGCAAGGCTCTTCTGGAACCTTACAACCTAAGATTGGGTCTATGAGAGGGCCTGCTCCTTAGCAAAAACAGTCCAGCAGTGTTGGCTCAAATGCTCAGTCACTACTTTGCCCCATATTTATGGACTCCAGAAAGATGGCTACATATTAATTTGGTGCCTCAAGTTTAGAAAGGAGAAAAAAAATCTCCTGTGATATTAAAATATATGATGAGCTTATGAAGTACACACAAAATCCAGTGTTATCTATTTCCAAGAGGAGGGCAATGAAGTTCCTGCTCTGACAAAGTATATGACCCTGAGTATGGACAGTGACCCTGGGGGAACATCTTCCTAGTAAGCTTTGCCATAGGGACCTGAATGAAGTCTCTAAACCCCACATCTATATTGAGGAAGAGCTCCTAAAAGTATATGCAATGTGTCAGTAGTTATCTCCATGCCATGCTGCTGATTAATTTGCATTAAAAAGAGGTCAGGAACAGCTCTGTAGAACCCACACACCCTGACTGTTCTGGATGAACCAGAACAACCCATACACCAGCCTCAGTGGTGAGACTAAAGTCCCAGGAGGAACCAGCCGAGCCAGAACACAGCTAAGCTAGGTTCTTGAGCATAAGAATTCCTTAGATGTTTGTAAAGAAAACAAATTTCTTGTAACATAGAAAGTCAGGTGGCCTACAGCAGCTTCCCGTGTTAGAAGAGAAGGAAGTGATGTCTACAGGACATGAGGGTAGCTGGCACAGATGGCAACTGCTAAAGCATCAGATGGGTGGGAAAGAACAGGCAGCAGGGAAAGCTGTTTTCACAGTTTTCTAGAGCCAGCATGCACTTCACAAGGACAGTACATCTCAATGGAAGCCAGCCACATTTCAAGTGGCCTATAGCTACCAGCAGCTAGTGAATGTCATAATGGACAAGAGGTGACCACTGTAAAAGCATATCTCAATATTCATCTCAATAGATGTCTGTGACTCCATAAAGATGCCTAAAATAATTATTAACAAAAATGTCTCAGTAACAAATTTGGGGATATATTTACACTTTTTATCCTTATAGTTTGAATTATGTACACTGAACAGAACCTTTTATTGGTTTGTTTTTAAATAAAATCCTGCTCACCCCCAGCTGTACCCCTCGAGTAAACTGTACTGGAACCTGTGACCCTTCTACTCAGCCCCAAGCACTGGGATTACAGGACAAGCTAGTCTTGTCTTGAATTCAAACTCACACAGAACTGCCTGCCTCTGCTTTGGGGGTGCTAGAATTAAAGGCACACATCACCATGCCTGGCCCAGAATTGCTTTATATTGCTTATAAGGAAGGAAGGAAGGAAGGAAGGAAGGAAGGAAGGAAGGAAGGAAGGAAGGAAGGAAGGAAGGAAG